AAAAAACCATTCAGCGGGTTGTTACGGTATCATCTCAAGTTGCGAAGGATCATATATTCTGCAACCTTAGCTGGCTGTCATCGCAGAGTTTCACTGGGCTGCTGCTGGTGAGAGCCAGAGGGCTCCCTGCCAGACAAATTAAGATCCTGAATTAGAAACCAGAAGGTAACGAGAGGAGATATATGCGCTGCGGGGAGGTGGGGCTTTGAATGGCTGCACTGAAACTTTCCCCAGAGATCATTGGGCATGGCCCGTCACTGGAAAGCTTCCCAACAAAGGGGTGATGTTGCATGATCAGTTTCAGTGTTAAATAAGATGGATAGATGTAGGCAATCAGGCCAGGCAAGAGAGCCAGCTCCGACTGAGAAATGTGTGTTTTCAGAAACAGAAGTGATTGAGTCAGTGTTCTGTGTAGTTTTTGGCTCGTGCATCTTACAGCGATGTACCGTGGGGTACTCAGAGCTGCGTTGCTCTCTGATAAAACAGCCCCAGAGCCTCCCATCCTTGTCAGCTCCCAACCAGAGCGCACTGCCAGCCTTTTTCCTGCCCTCCTCCACCAGAGTCCCAAGCAATGAGAGACATCCGATGTTATCAGCGCTGCAGATTGCACAGAGCTATACTGCCAAGGGCTTGTGTCATGAATTCGCAGTGAAGTGCAGAAATTTTATTTTTCCTCCCTGTTATGCACACATCACAAAACAGATTAGACTGTGGTGAATATAACAAAAAAAGATAGAGGGATTTTCACTTGTCTTCATTTCAGACATGTATGTCCCTGCTTTGTTCAAAATGTATAAAAAGATCTCTGTCCATACAGAAAACAAACACGAGCCTTTGTCCTAAATGACTGAACAATTATGGTGTGTCATAACCTGCTGTGAGATTCCAGCCCTGTTGGAAGCTGCTTGCAGCTGTCTCTGACCTATTTATGAAGCTGATGGATGTAAGGTGAAAAGAGCCTTTTGTGTGGCTGCCTTTTGTATTTCTTGGGAAGGTGCTGATGATTTTCTTTCGACTATTTGGTGCTCATGTAACCATCGTCGCTTTAGGTGCAGGAAAAAAACATTGCTAGACACATTAGAGTCAAAACAGGTGAGACGTTTAGTTGTTTCGGTCAAGTTAATGTCTTTTTTTTTTTTGTGCGAAGTGTTGCATTCATGCCAGCTGTGGTCCTGACCTGGTTAGAGCTGCTTTGAAAGAGCATAAGAAAGACGCAGTTCAAAAGCAAGGCTGCAGAAATCCCCTCCCCACACTTAGCCTCATTTACAGCTACAGTGGTTGAATGCAGATGAGAGAACATCTAACATCTTTTCTCTTTTGGCTTGATTATGTGCTGGAAAGATTTTTTTTTTTTTAGTTGTTGTTCCTTAACGCCTAAAGCCAGAAGCATTTATTTAGCTTAGCATAGATTGCCTAGAGGTTGTCAGTTAAGACTTGTTGAACTATTTAACAGCTTCCAAAGTGCTGCAGGGCTGTCTCATCCTGGATTAAGAGCAATAGTTTGATGGTTAAAGCCAAATGTGTTGTTAGTGGTACGATTGTGTTCAATCAGCAGTAACGGTAGCGAGGATTAAAAAAAAAAAAAAAAAGCATATTGCAGTTTAGCTTGGTACGGTTGTCTCGCAGATCTCAGAAGCTGTTCTCACAATCGAGAAAAGGGAAGTATGTCATGATTAGAAATGTCTTTTTTTTAAACTATATAAATAATAGGACTGCAGTTGGTAGCACTGTTGTCTCGCAGCAAGAAGGTCGCCGGTTTGCATCCCGGTGGGGGCACTGGGATCTTTCTGCGTGGAGTTTGCATGTTCTCCCCGTGCAGCGTGGGTTCTCTCCGGGTTCTCTGACTTTCTCCCACACAGTCCAAAAACATGCTGAGCTTAATTGGTGATTGTCCATAGGCGTGAATGTGAGTGTGCTTGGTTGTCTGTCTCTAAGTGTAGCCCTGTGATAGACTGGTGACCTGTCCAGGGTGTCCCCTACATTCGCCCTGAGTAGGCTGGGATAGACTCCAGCCCCCCCGCGACCCTAATGAGGATTAAGTGGTGTATAGATAATGGGTGGATGGATGGATGGATGGAATATGAATAATAATATAGCCGCCTGTTGAGAAAATCTTAGTTGTTTATTTACAGCATTGATGAGAAAATACAATGTCTGCACACTGTTGCACTGATAATATGGATGCTGCAACTGTTGCTGTACATATTTATCTACAGGAAGTCGTACATTAAGGCTGAGTGAGATGAAGAAATCATGTTGTGATTACACAGATATAGTGTCATTTTTTTCATTCCTTTTCTGCAGATTTTTTTGGCTGGGACATCACTGTAGCACTGCAATGCTTAATTATTATTGATAGTTTATCACACAGTTTATTTTTATGAACAAAACTGCAGCTCCTGTGATTTTATTGCATTTGGACAGATTTGAATTGCTCAGCCCTGCAGTACATTAACGAGAAGTTTGTGTCTTTGTGATTTGAAAATCTGCACAATCAAGCTCTTTGTTTCAAATGTTGCATGTCCAGAAGTGCAGCCACTAACTAACCCTAACCATAAAAAAATAGATGCTTGTCTCAAAGAGATGCTGTGCGCTGATATCTACATACACAGATCCCCAATGTAGCACATATTAAAGTGTATGTTTGTTTGCTTGTCCGTGTGCAAATCCGCTGCTGTCCGTAGCCACATATGTGCATTTCTATTTTCCAAATTGCACTCCATCTGGTTGGTCTGGGGCTACAGGCAAGTGATTGGCTCTACTCCAGCTCAGATAGTGGTGGTGTTTCACCTGAAGCTGTTCGGTGTCTGCCAAAAAACATTTGAAGAAAAATAGCATTTCAATCGTGAACAGCGTCGGTAAAGGAAACAAATGGGTCAGTGGTTGTTCTGAACTTCTCTTACTCGCACTAACCTTGTTTCCGTGTTTTTGCGTCGTGCTTCAAGCTGTTCAACTGTTTGCTTCAAATTCACACAACAGTTAAATGGCAGCCAGGCGACTGTTTCCTCACCGTACAGATTATTCAGTAGTTTACCTGATCAGGGATCAGCCTCGGATGCATTTAAACATTTACACCTGGCTAAAGCGTGTTTCATATTTCAGCCTGTCTTGAATGTGTTTTGAATTAAATATTCTCTGATTCCAACTTGTAAAATGTTAATCTTTTGCAGCCTTTCTCTGTTTTATATATTCAAATTGAAAAAAATAACAGTGTTTGAGTTTTGGACTGATGCTGTAGACCGTAGGCATTTTCCTATTTTCTGGCATTTTTTAAACTAATAAATCAAGCAATTGATTGGCAATTAAAATGACTATATATATATTAAATAATAAATGCATTAAATACAAAAGCTTGTATCCTGCTGTGAACAACAAATTAAGTGAAACTGAGCTTGACTAATTCAACCTGTCCTTGACCTTTTCCCTCCTACAGATTTTACCTTCAGTGAGAATAAATGAGTAACTGTGTGACCTTTAGTTTACATCTCAAACATGCTGTACATACACATGTTCATCCACACTCACAGTCCAAGAGGGAAAGGTTTCTTCATTTATCTAGAAGGAAAGCCTTGTGAACATTTTAGAAAAAAAAAAAGTCAAAATACAACACCAGAAAGACAGATTATTTAACATTCTGTTTGTGTTCTCACTTGTCAGTGAGGAAGATAAATTGTAGTCTATCCAAATGTTTGTATTTTGACGGGACTATACACGGTATTGCATTAATTCCATACATCAATCATAAACATCCCACTGACTGGATTAAACAAGACTGCTCTGTGGAGCCTTTATTTCAAGAGTCAGAAAAGCGTTGAACTTGAATGACTTTGGAAGAACTTATCATGTTTTGTCATTCCCACAATCTATTACACTATACTCAACATATATATTTTAGTTGGACATAGCCCATGTAATAGTTTTAATGTCTTGTTTTCCGTGTGTAAAACATTTAAATTCATGCATTATTGACACTACAAGGTAAGAAGTGTTCCCTGCAGGCTGACTGTACTGTATGCCTGCATTCAGCCTCTCCTATCGAGTCAAATTAACAGTTTGGTGCATCACCGTACTGCATGCATACCGTAGGAGCCTCCACACACAGCAACCTTCAGTTAGGATACAGTATGCCTCTGTGCTCTGTGGTCTGCTGCAGTTATAAACTGGCTGCTCTGCTTAAAGTAACAGGCAGAGCTGGAGAGCTGCACTGCGCTCATTTCTAACACCTCCTGTGTGCTCGCCCATTCATGGCTGGTTTCTCATTCGCTAGAAACTATTCAAATAAACTGTACGATGCTTACCTGGATTGGTTTTCAGCAGCCGTAATGTTGTGCGGTCATGCTTAATCACTTCTAGTGTTTGGCTTTCGGCTGTGAAATTGTGTCTCATCCTTTGAAAATCCATTGGTTTTCTGCAGAATCAAACTCACACTTCTCTCAGTTCAGCCTCAGTGGAGCATTATTTTATACAGCAGGGCATTTTTCTCTGCTCTGCATCTGCTTGAAAGAAATACTTCAAGATTACATTTTGGTACTGCAACAATTCACCTCTTCATTTTAGTGAACTGACAAAAAATTATTGTGAATTTAGCCAGTTTCCATAAGTAAATCATCTTTGAAGTCATTGTTGGGAAAAAAGGGTCACAGATATGAGGATTTGTTGCTCTTTTGTCTTCAATGTGACTAATTAATTATGGAATTAGTCATATAATAATTATATGACTAGTTAATTGTATATGTTTGCATTTATTGCCTGGACTTAGTGACAATTTCCTTTTTTTTTTTTTTTTTTTTTACCAGTAGTTGTAAACTAATCAATCAATCTGTGGTTGCACCCAAAGTTATGACTGAAGCTGCTGACTCACTCTCAGCTATCAGGGTTCTTATGGCAATCTTGTACAAGAGGGATTGGGTTGGGAGCGGGAACTCCCTCATTATCTGTGTTTAGCAAACCCACCAACTAACCACTTGTCTCTCCTTCCTTTTTGTTTGTCTTTTCTGCAGCAGGATGCAGTAGGCCGGACCCAGTCCCCTGAGATGTTACTAAGCTATGAGGATGGGTCAGAGAAAGAAGTCACGCCGGTGAGGCGAACAAGCCGTCCACCACCCCTGAAAAGCTACCGCAGCTACACGAACTGACACAGCCATGCCCCGCCTGCCCTCCTGATTTTCCTCCCCAACCTCTGCACCTTCCCTTGGTTGAATTACAGTCACAGCATCCCATCCGACCCCCCCCTCCCCGTCAAGTCAGCATGGCTACACCTTTCTTGTGGAAGCTGTCATCCCAGAAGCTGGGCTTCTTTCTGGTCAGCTTTGGCTTCATCTGGGGCATGATGCTGTTGCATTTCACCATCCAGCAACGAGCCAGCCATGAGAACAGTGCTGTGCTGCGGCAGCAGATCCTGGACCTCAGCAAGCGCTACATCAAAGCGCTGGCTGAGGAGAACCAGAGTGTCATGGATGGGCCATATGTGGGAACCATGACAGCTTATGGTGAGTATACCACTCTGTGAGGGTGTGTGTCCATTCGTGTTTTGTTTTTTTTTTCCTGACAGAAAAGCTCGGGCAGAGACACTTCATCAAAAATACACTCCTACGCTGGAGGGTTTTGTCAATATCTTGACAACATATCACCACTCTTACAACTGTTGTATGGTAGATCTGATTAGTTGCTTGAAAGGGAGCGACAATGAAGAGACCAGTGCCTTTCTGAAGTATTCAGAGACTTTCAACTAGAAGTGCCTTGAGTGGCTGCACAAACGACTGTGGCCACATACACACTCTGCTCACTGGGAACAATTGAAAAACAGATGCTGGTGCTCAGAGAGGATATGCTGTATGGACACTCAGCCTAATTGAGGTTTATGTATAGTAATTGCTATGCTGCTGTCAGGGAACAGGACTGATGCTTTTACATTAACGTCAAGAAGTTTTGTACGCACATATTCTTTTCAGCAAGGTCAGGATGTGTTCTCAAGTCATGCAAACACTCATACACAACTACAAAAAAACAACACAGTCACTCTTCTGCTTCAGTTATAGCAAAATGCCTTACGCCTATCAGTAGGGCTAATGTTTCATGAGAATAACAACAAATACCTGAAGTAGTCAGTAGTTATAGCCTGCTGAATGAGGAATGCACAGATTAAAAAGTTAACAGAATTAGTCTGTTAGCATAGCAAAAATAAATGTATTAATTTCTTTTATTTTCACAAGATTACAACCAGGCTATAGTAATCTTCTGTAAAGTCATTATATAATGTAATTCTTTGCTTTACCTCACTTTTTACGTCTTTCTTAAATTGGATAGAATGGTTCCACTTGTGTACCTCCAGTATTGGCTATCCTCAAAAAAAAACCTGTCTGGGAGATTTAAAGCTGATACAGCTGCATTGGAGCATAATACTGTAATAGCACAGGTCCAGAAGACCCATCAATAAGTTATTCATGCCATTAATAGACCTGTATGGCTCGATGGGAGGCTTCATTAGAAACCTGAGATTGGAATTGATTGTTCTCTAATGCTCAGAGAAACAACAGGATACAGTAAAGCTTCTGGAGATTAAATCAGCTCCCGGAGAAAGTAAAGCTGGACAATGCAAAGAAACAAGTGCACTGCTGGCTTAAGGTGCTTGTGCTTATTGAATGATAAATGCAAATTGTAGAAGTACCACCGTATGTAAACCACTGTCTGCATGCCCCTATACATAAAAAAAAAATAACTCGACAGTATCATCCAGGCAACTTTGAGGAAATCAAAACCTTAACTTCTGGAACATTATAGCCAATAATAAGAATTTTTTATTTTTTTTTTGTGCTACCTTAATTCCCCAAACTTATATCGGACATTCACCGAGGAGTTACTCTGAATCAATTTGGAGGTAAAGTGATCCGAGCTCCATCGATAGATTTTCCTGTAATATCAGCTAACGTTTCCAGGGAACAGATTCCTGTCCGGTTTGTTTTGTTCCCTTATATGATGGATTGATTTTCACGGTGCTGCAGCAGTCTGCTGACCGGCGTCCAGTATCACATCAAAATCCATTTCAAGTCCTTGATTAGATAGCGAGGCAGCAGAACGCTCTGTGCCTTCTGCGTTTGCCTTGATACGATTCACAACAAGTTTAAAGGCAAGCAGGGTTTCCTTCTTTACTACTTTAAAATGACCCATAAAATCCTAATGCATGCGAGTTTAATATTGTAGCTCCTGAAAGCTGATTTGGGACGCTTGCTTGCTTTATTAGTGGTGATAATTCTAAGAAACTCACCTGTTGAAAAGCAGCTTGCAGTCTCTCTTTTTATGCACAGCCAGATTTAGATACTTTGTGTTCGTGCCTTAAAGATTTTTGTGATTTAAGTCCAGCTAAATCACACTGTGATTAATTTTCCTTACTTAAGAATTAATTAGATTTAAACATAAATATGATAAGTCTTTAGTCCAAGAGAAAGCAGAACTCCACCGCAAGTGTCTTTTCGCTTGAAGCCATATCGAGGACGCTTGTCACACCGTCTTCTGACAAGGATATGACATTTCCCACTCCTCCCATCCTGAAACTGATCCACGCAGCTGTGTGTGACGAGCAACCCGACACCATGTCTTGTTGCTACAGCGCAGGACACTCGCTATTGTGGATTTCTTTTGTGCCGTGGAAACATATCACACTTGTGCTCTCTGCCACGGCCTCCTCCGCAGGGCCAATCTCAGAATTGAGAAGAACCTGGCTGTAGTGTAAGCTTACACATATTGTTGGTCTAATCCTCTTCGTCCTCTCTTGGGCAGAAGGTCATTGCGTCTTCCTCCTGTGTCTGTCTGCTGCTTGTTATATTATGTCTGACCGACATGGAGTCCACTGCCAGGCTGGGTTAAGACTCGCCTTATGGATGACAGTAAACAATGGAGATCACCGATGAACGCCTCGGGCTTATGCTCCTGTGAAATCACTCCTTTTTAATGCTCATTAGCTTAATGAAAAATCCCCAGGTCACCGTGCATCCAGATTAATTTGACACTGTTGTTAAAAGTGGAGTGAAGTTCAGTGTGTTTACCGCTTGAGGTTTTGTTTTGCTACTGCATCACCTGCCTAAGAAATATTGAGACAAGCAGAAATGTGTCCCCAGGTGTGCTATTACTCATTGGGTTACCTGGCAGTGTTATTAGTGCACAAGCGGACAAGTGGAAGCGTTGTTCACAGACCCATGAATACCTTTCTAACACACCGGCTAATGAAGGTCTCTGACTCAAAACCTCACATTTAATTACTGCGAAGTGTGCAGAGGGTGGTTTTGGACATTTCTCATTTGTTGCCCTCAGCAGAGAAGGATGCATAGCAGTTTATTGTCCACACATTTTTATTCATATAAAGAATTTACAGAAAAAAATATTTGTTGTGTAGGAGTTAATCAAGACTTTTGATAAAGACCAATCTATTTTTTATGTTTTATGAACCGCAAATGAATTTCTAAAAATTTGGACACAATTATGCATCATCTTGGGGGATGTTTTGAACAAATTTGTAAGCTTATTTATCTTCCTCCCTCCTATTGCAAAGCATATCAACTAAAGTGCAGAGTGAGATAATAAACAAGCCCAGTCAATCTTTGTAGTATTCAGCTTGATGTCAGTGGACATACAGTAATCCTGTGTTACTCAAGTCAACATAGGGGAGCATTAACTCAATCCTCACCCCTTTGATTCTATAATAGCTTGGCAAGGCCGCTGCACCAAAGCTTTCCATTTGGCTTCTTTCTGGTATCGCTGTGCTGCTCTCTGTACATCTGCTCCTCCCAGCGCACACAGCTCGTCCAAATCAGACAAACGCTCTGGCCTTTTCTCTTCCCACGAATCAGGCTGGTGCTCCGTGCCAGGCCTCGTTGTGCCCTTGCCAATCTCTCTGACGTGATGAAAACTGGCGTGTCAAATGCATCACGTCGCGGGGAAAAGTGCCGCTCGCATGTGATAGACAAGTGGCAATTATCATCATCTGAGGAGCGCAAGCGTGAGCCTCTCTCGACATGTAAGCCGATGTATGAATAATGCAGCATGCTGTGGGTTTGATGATTATCAGTGAGCTCATAGCCGATGACAAATGTCATTATATTATATTTGCTGTTATACTCAATATACAGCAGCATGAAACAACTTAACATTTCTCTGTAAATGCCATTGCAATTGCTGCAGGTGAAAGTATCAGACAAATGACACAATAAATAAGGCCAAAAAATGCCGTGCCTTAACAATGTGACAGTGCCATTTTTGAACGGATGCCCTATCCGTCTCATTACTGGTCAGCAATCTTCCTGCTCGTTCTACCGTTGGTTGTGTCCTATGCAGATAAGTGCTCACGGAGGAAAAGATGCCCACGGAAATGCAAAGACCCAAATTAAAAAGCAAGGTCACTTCCAGAGATGCAGTGGCTCTGGGTTTACATTTAAATGAGCCTCGAGCTGAGCGCCTCAAATCTCAATGACTTGTTGTGGAGGGAAATGAAGTGTCCCCGGCCGTACGTTTTCAGACATCGCTGAGCAACGTTCCCCAGACTACAGGCTGCGGCTTAAATGTCATGCATGTGTTCACTGTAATGGCAAGAATGCTGCTAATAAAAAAAAAAAAAAAGAAGCCTTTTTCTCATTTAGAATCTGCTAATGAGATACAGAGAAATTTACAAGACCAAAAACATCTGTAATTAATTTCATATGCTCTCTTGAGCAGTCTTAAGCTTAAACCTAATTATGTGTATATTGTATGTGCTAAAAAATACCACTTGGCCCCGATGGAACTATCTCAGTCACTGATAGATAGACTTCCCTGACATTTGAAACAGATATTCATGGTTGTAAGAGGATGGATCCATATGAATTGAAATCAATCAGAGAATCAGAATGGATGAAGAGTAAGAACCAAAATCGATAAACAGAGCCAGAATAGTTAAAATACAATTAACAAATAGTTCAAATAAACCAGCAAAGCATTAACATCATAACATTGTGAGCTACTAGCACGGCCGTAGACTCTTGTTATCCTGCTACTGTATCATGCTTTTGTTAATAAATTGGCAAGAACAGTTTAAAAGGTTGATTTTGGCAGCATAAAGTGAAAAAAAAAAAAACCCAACCACCACACACGCATGATAAAATCTGGCATAACTTCATGCGCTCTGCCCTGAAGCCCTACAAAGCACCTGACAGAGCCTCACTTGCCAGATATTTCTTTATATTTGTTACTGGCGAGGAAATGAAGCCTCCGTTTCCTGCTTGCAGACTTGAAGAAGACCCTGGCAGTGCTGCTGGATAACATCATGCTGAGGCTGGGCAAGCTGGAGTCCAAGGTGGAGAACATCTACAACGGCACGGGGGGAAACCTGACCAACGGTACCAGCACTGCCACACCCAGTGCCACGAACTCCGAAAAAGTCAACGTAGCAGGTACGTGCTGCATTCTAAGCTTTTAAACAAGTGTGCATTCAAAATCAGGAATCTTGTTTCCTTGCCATTTAGAAAACGAATAAATTCATCTATCCACAGACTCACGCCTTTAGAAACCTTGTTGCTTAGTGTATCGTGAACATACAGTGAACTGAAGAAATGAGGATGAGCTAATCATTAAGCATGAAAACAGAGTATTTCTTTAAGATTCCTGAGTGAATAACTTTACCGAGGCAAACAACTCGCTAAACTTTGCCAGCATCGCACAGCTCACTCCACGCACTTTATTGGACCAGACCGCATCCTTGGACATGATTCAAATAAGGCCTCTGTTCACGCTGCATGACCCTTTTATTAGTTTTCATTGATTTTCCTGCCAGCTTTCAGATGATGAATTCAGCCCAGTTGAGCGAACGAGGTGTTGGTTTTTCCTGAGTCCCTGGGAAAAGTGGAGTCTACAGTATACTCCGAAGCAATATATGCACAGTTAGATTGGACTGATTGAGCCGTACAAAGACGCATTTGAATAAACTCATTTCTAATGTCAGTTAAATTTAGCAAACGACGATGCGACCTTGACTTGAATTTTTTTTTTTAATAGTTGATCTGATGGGCGTATGAAAGTGACAGATCTTTGTCGATGCAATTGACGTCATAGGCAGCCAACAGACTTTCAGAATGACTCGAAAAACCTAGTTTCTCTTTTACAGCTTTCTCTTGTGTTACCAGAGAACCACATCCTTTCACAACTGTGTGGTGTCTCTGTCCTTCATCTGCCTGATGTTAAAACAAACATGCAGTCTGCTTTACTTTGTCTTTGAAAGGTTGCCTTTGCCTCTTGCTGTCCGATCCTCAAAGTGCTTGTCACTTCTCCTAATATCAGTATTTGTCCATCGACAGAGCTTTAAGGTAATGTAATCAAACGTGTGTATTCAGGGCTTTTCAAAAGGATATTAATTGTTTGAAATAAGTAGAGTAACAGTTGTCATTTAAGCTCGAACATTCATTAATCAAAGGAAAAATAACAATGTTCACTGGGTTGGACTATTAAATATGAATATTTTCTTAATTTCCCAATCTTTGTAGCTCTTTGTAGGTCTTTGGGCTTGAACAAAACAGGACATTTGAGGGACATTATTCAGAATTTTATTTGATAGAACAAGCAATGAATCAATTTATCAAGAAAATGATCAGCTGCTTAATCACTAATGAAAATAAGTGGCTGTGGTATAAAAGTTACCAGGTGTTGCGTATTAAGCTCACATATGAATACAGGAACAAAAACAGAAGAGTAATCAACATAATAATATACGGTAAGTGAATTTGGCAGCCTGGTTTCCTCAGACGTGGTGTACAGGAAGGATTTTCTGGCAGCCGGCGTCTGCTCTGAGTCCAGCCATTGTGGACAGTAGAAATGAGACACTTATCTCATATACCATTGTCGAGGCACTGTTGGCTTGAGCTCCTGTGTTCCGGAGTAGCCAGACCTGTGACACGTGTCAATAAACTCGCACCCCCCCCCGCTCACTGTAAACCTCCAGCGGTACCCTTGAGAGACAACATTTGGATCCTGAATGCAGGTCGAGCTGACAAAGCGGCAACCCACGTCTCTCTTGGCACTGAACTAAAAGCCCCGGCACTCCAGAGTCTCTATTGGAGCATGTCTCCTGTCTTGGAGTGGGTGGCAGGCAGCGCCGTTGCCAGCTCCACTACTGCTCCTCCCTGACTGGAACGCAATTACAGAGATAAGAATCTGGACAGTGAGGGGAACACGCCTGCCTTTCAGAGAGGCTGCTATCAAGATGGAGCTGAGCAGCAGCCCTGGGACTGCACTGTTTCCACCTCGATTGTATAAATTTTCTTAGCCAAGGACTCAAGTCAGGCTTCCATCTTACATTTAGGCCAGATTTCAACCAAATTTCCAGAAAATCTGCATAAAAATGTGAGCTAATGCATTGTTTCATTCATTGGTGTTTGGCCAGACAAACCGTTTGTGGCGCTTAATTGTACAGTTGGGAGCCAAAAGAAGAGGACACAAAACAACTGAGTTCATTAAAAACAGAAAATAGCTCTAGCTAGTGTTAATGCACAGTGACTTCCTGGGCGCCATCGCACTTTTACCTGTCAGGGTTGAAACTGTTCTAGGAAACCTACTCATCTCGCTCCTCCTGCTCCTTAAACTTTCAATATTCTCTCACTTTGGTGTGAAGAGACTGTTCAGCTCAGTGTCTGATCCCCGAAACCTGCAATTTAAATGACAGTATCCTCACTGTTGGGAGATGACACCGTGTAATTATTATTATTTTTCATTCTTGTTTTATTTTTTTTTACTTAAGAAATGCACAAACACAATTTAATGTTGTCCCTCTTTTAAATCCCCCATTGCACAAATACAGTCGAGGCTATTTTTGAAAGGAAAACATTCATGAACGTTTCAAATGTTTGGGGACACGAAGCCTCTGATGACTCAATCCTGTAAATACAGTTGGCAAAAATCAGAGTTTAGTGCCAGACATACCTGTTTGCTGGCATCCTCTGACTTCATTGTAACCCGCAGATTCTAGACTGGTTCATCAGGAATTGGACAACACACCCTCAAGTGTCACACTGAGCCTTACGCTGATGTGTCAGCAATGTAACGGCAACACTTTGTCCAACTTCTTTCCTGCTTCTTGCTGCTGTTGATGTGAACTACCAGCTGTGTACACATTGTGGAGCTTCTTTCTCAGTTATTAATCATCTCATAAAAAATGTGGCCTGCTCTCATCGCTTTACTTGCAAGCTCCGTTGTGTACAGTGCTGTAAAACCCACACTGGAAGTTTGAGGAATCAGTGTTAACACGCCACGTTTGCTGCAGTGCTGGCGCTGTCTATTCAGAGGAACAGCTTCGGCCTTGTGTTGCTTTTGCGTTTAGCCAAGGACAACAGGCGCAGAAACCCCGCGCAGGATCAAAACAACTCGATCCGGCCTTGCTTGCTGCTTAGCAGGAGGCAGATGGGACCGGGTCCAACAGCAGTCTGTGACGCCTTGTCTTGCCGTGTCTCGCTGATGTGGCTAATCAGCCTTCCCCCGGCAGCGTTTCATCTGTGGTCCGGCCCGGTGGCGTGGAATCTATGTAATCTCCTCCTACACGCACGTATACAAACACACACAAAGACCCAGGCGTGGAGACAGATGTAATGAATGGTCAGGCGGTGATTTGCAGCCATCTAGCTGCCCCTCGCTCTCTCTCTTTCTCCATTTCGTTCCCTCTGCGATATATTTCTTCTCCCCTTGCTGGTGTTTAAGGTTATCAATGTTCCTTCCATCTCAGCCACACCGATGTTTGGCTGATTTACGGCTCCTTTTTTTTCTTTTTTTTTTTTTTCTGTAAACAGAGACGCTTGCGTTCACAGCTCAGGGCATCTTCACTGCTTTGTCTCTTTCAGCTATTGATCCGCTAGCGTCTCTATTTGCCATTCACTGTGAAAGATGAGATCCAAGGCCTCAATGTCAACAAAGAAAAGGGACAAGGACAGTGTTTCTGCTGGGGATTGGAGCTGACCTGCTTACTGCATGATTTTGCTGGTCCTTGTTTTTTTATTTTCTTTTTTAGCTGACATCGTTGCTTGTCCAAAACAATTTGGAGGAGAACTTTCTTTCCTGAAATATTGAATCTATATATGTCGGGTATCCAATCACCATACAATTACCATTTTAATACTGAAATCTATCTTGGATTTGGAGCAGAGTCCGTGGGCTCCCATTATGTTCTGGAAGGCCTGTTTACTCATTCGGTATACAGATCAATACTAATAAAGTACACACATGCACACAATCCCGCTCGCTGCTAATAAGTTGCTGAGAGATGCTGTCCACTCCCACACACTTTTAAACACTTGCATGAATCCTGACACTCATCACCCTGCAGTCTACTGTACAATGAGTAGCAGCATAATTGAAGCCAGAATTACAATCGATCATTTCCCAGATGTGGTGATTTACAGTATTGCGCTGTGTTTTCATTTCACCTTTGCTCATCTCGTTGTTTTGGAACAGTGACCTTGTGAATAGATGAAGATACTGAAAGAAAAAGATGAATTATTGATATCCATTTTAGTTTTCCTTCCAGTTTGAATTTGTAATTGTTAGTCCTGGCTGATTTGACCTGATTTGCAATGACGAATACGTTGTGTTTCCAGTGGCTCCTTCACACTCACAAAAAAACACTTTCGCCACTTGTGTGTACAGCAGTGGCCGTAGGAAATGTTAGCTTTGTAGCACAATGTAAAGAGAGTTAAATTCTCCCAACTTGTTCATACACGTTGAATCCAGAGCGGGAATGCAAGACTCTGCCATGAACAGTCGGCTGCTCTGTAGACGTTTAATTTTGTAATTACCAAATGAGCTTTAACAGCATCAAAATGGGGTTTGACTACAGTAAAATCATCCATCCATCCATTTTCTACACACCGCTTAATCCTCATGAGGGTCATGGGGGGCTGGAGTCTATCCCAGCCGACTTAGGGTGAAGGCAGGGGACACCCTGGACAGGTCACCAGTCTATCAGAGGGCTACACTTAGAGACAGACAACCAAGCACACTCACATTCACACCTATGGACAATTTAGAATCACCAATTAACCTCAACATGTTTTTGGACTGTGTGGGAGGAAGCCGGAGAACCCGGAGAGAACCCACGCTGCACGGGGAGAACATGGAGACTCCCACCGGGACGCGAACCGACAACCTTCTTGCTGCGAGGCAACAGTACAGTAAAATCATACACATTAAAATTCTAAGGTCCACGTCTAACTTTCAACAGTAGCCATTTTGTAGGATGTGTGTGGGATAGGAGCGCCTCCACGGAGTTCAGCCTTTAATAATGCCTATCATTCTCTTTTTTTTTTTTACAACAATTAATCAATTAATTAATTGATGAATTATTCAATTCACCATCAAATATTAAATTACCTTTCTCAACCCCAAGCAGTCTCTGGGCGTTGTTACATTTTTACTC